TTTAGGGTTCAGGGGTTTAGGCTTAGAAAATGAGATGTTGGTGAGTCTATAATATAGGGTTAATTGAGGAATTTTGGTGTGTGCATATAGGGGGTGTCCGGTTGGGAAGACCTCAAACTGAAATAAGGGGTCAAATGGGCTTTTGGGAATTGGGCTGTTTGCTTTGGGATTGAGTTTTTAAGAGTGGGCTTGGGTTTCGGGAGTTAAGCTTGTGGCATTAGCTCTCGTGGGTTTTGGGCTTGGTTCAGGTGTGGGATTTGGGTTTTGGGCTTGGGTTTACGCTTTGTGCGTGGGTTTGGGCAGTTTTTGGGTCACGTGTGGGATTGGGCTTCCGAGGTTGTGGAAATTTTGCAATTGCGGCCTTTCCGGCAACGTACACTAGGCATGGAAATCCCGGACTTGCTTAGTTGCACCCAAAACGATTGCAAAAAGCGCAACTGCAACGCAAGACACCAGGCCCTAGCATATCCGCATATCAAGGCAAGCTTCTGTAACAAATTGTCTGGCCAACACGAACGCAAGCTTGTGTAGAAACTTCTTGGCAGAAGTGCAGCAGAGGTGGACACTTGGTTGATCAGTTGCATATCTTCTGCAAGAGCCCCTATCATGCCCTTCAGTTCATGCTCGGGCTCAAGTAGCTGGATACACCGCATAAAGTACGACAGCCTTCTGAAAAGCCCTCTGGCGCAGGCAAAAAGCTTGGGAGGCTCCGGGTGAAATGAAAAAGTCAGATAAGATTTGGCACTGACATGAGCCTAAATCCTCAGGACGAGTATATACTATCTGACCATGAAGATTTACATAAGATGCCGCGCATTGAATCTGAAATCGCTCAAGATTGCGAGCACCAGTGTAAAACACTCGGCGACCGCAACTGCACCCCAACCAGCCAAAGCACAGAGATCGTTACAAGTGAGCGTCAGCCTGCTGGGTCCATTACAGAATCTGGACTGTGAGAGCATTGCGCCTGACCACAAGAACCTAAACTCCTCGAAAAGCACAAGGTCCGTACTCCCCCGACAGAGGTGTAGACGATGGCGGCCCCGTATGGCAGGCCTTGGACTTGCCAAGTAAGCAGATTTGATAAGGGTTCAGGCTGTTGTGCCTCAGTAATTTGTTCTAGCCATACCTTTTGTTGATCCACAATCCGGAATGCCTTTCAGCTAGGAGCGATTTAGGATTTGGGGCTAAGTGTTTAGGGCTTACGTTCAGTGAGTCGAGGCTCTGGGGTTGCAGACACAAAGCTAGATGAATGAGGGTGTCCTTGGAGACCTTGTTGAGGAGGAAAATCTCAACCTTCTTATCCACTTTCAGTCCTTGTTCGCGTGAATCTTGGGAATGCCACGCGCCATGAGAAGTAGAATAGCAATGACTCTTGGGAAAGTGATTTGAAAGAACGTGCCGACGTGCCACTAATGTCAACTTACATCTGCAGTGAGAATACCCACGAACCCGCAAAGGACATCAGACATCCAGTGGACAAAAAGTGGCATGGCAGATCCGCCAACTGCGCACTAAAAAACAGATGTTATCCCGTCCTCCTGGCTCCAGAGCAAACCTTAGAGTGGAAACCATGAAGCCCAAAAACTTCCTGGGCATCTGGCACTCATTCCGGAGAAATGCTTCGATAATCTCACTCCAGCCAACGGTCCTTACCGTTGTTGCGGCACAATGTTTATGACGAGCCCTTTACTCTAAACCCTATATAAACCCATTATAGTAGTCTCCATTTTATTCTGAATTTTCCCCATCCGAAGAGCTCTGGGCATTTCCACTAGCCGATAGCATGGGCAGATTATGACTATTACTACTATTCTGTATATTCTTGCTATTATTACGATCATTACTAGTATTACTCTTATTACTATTTGTACTGTTATTACTCATGTTACTAGTATTACTTGTATTGCTGTTTTACTTTGCTACAATTATTACTATTATCACTAATTATCACTGATCACTATTATTTCTAGTATGCTACGACCATTATTACCAATACCATTGTTTCTTTGGAAAAATTGCAAGGCACACAGGGTCACCATGTACGATAATCGCAGGATCCACCCCAACATCTATGTACACAGGCCGGCAAAACTCTGGAGTGACTAATTGAAGCATCAAGCCCACTACAATGCCTGTGCTTGAGGATTAGAATCATCAGAAGCCCCAGTAAAAAATTAGCATCAAGAACCTGTGCCCCTCTCTTGCAACACCGCGCTAGAGTTGATCAACCTGCTCGTTGACTTTAGAAAACCTCAATTATCTCAATTATTTGTAATTACGGAGGTTTGAAGCTTCTGTTTGAAGGGTGTCAGCAGGGCTCAGGCAAAGGCCTTTGTGGGCCTAAGTTCAAGGCAGGCAGGTAACACGCAAGACAAGAGCCCTTTGGCAGTCCCCATAACAAGGATTGTAGTATTCCTCGGCCGTTTCCCCTATTTATAGAAAAACCACGATACGAAAGCTAGGGCTTCCGTTCACCCCATGCAGTGGCAGTAGGACCTCATCTGCGATGAAACTTGCAACCATACCCCGAGAGCCTTAGTATTTCCTTTATGGTTCATACGGGTTGCAGAAGACGGGCACTTTTCTTTTGACGCTGCGTCTTCAAGCATGCGTCCGACTTCCCCAGACCAAAGCTGAGATGTATTAGTGAGGATGCTTTACGAAAAGCATACCTCAGCTTCCAAAGAGCTTAGTATGCTGGACTCATCGGGGTGCATCAAGAAGAGGTGCAGAAGGTATGCATGGCCACACCCCAAACCTGTAAACAGGGTTTCTCAAGAGCGCCAACAACACTTGCAACCCCCAAAACCCTCTTAATGTGTCTCAGAACAAAGATGGAACCTGATCTATAACGGACCCATACATACGTAGCTCAACAGCCTCTACTTCTGTCAGAGCCTGCTTAGCAGGGAAGTTTGGTGGTGCACTCACGGCTTGGCCGGAAGAATTGCATCCTGCTGCAGAAGTCTTGAGGACCAGGACTTGGGTTGCACATAGGGGCAGTATAGGGTTTGTATAAGGTGCGTACGGGGGGATGTACCAGAGTTCAATAGAATTGATATGGGGGATTGTCAAAATTATGGTCCCTTTTTGGGTCCCCTAGATTAGGCCCCGTATTAGGCCCCGTAGTATAATAGGGACCCAAAAAAAACCATAATTTTGACAATCCCCCATATGAGCTATAGTCTAAACTCCTAGTACCCTCCTTAATAACCCCTATAGTAGTCCCCTATTTCACCACCCCCTTAAAGGAGTTTAGTCTATGGCTCATATAGGGGTTGTATAAGGCCTGTAAGGATGGAAGGTTTGAGGCTGTTGGCTTAGCCTTCGGGTAGGGAGGATGTGAGTGTCTGTCTTCACCCATGGATGAAGCCCAGCGCTTTCAAGCTACCTTGTCCCCCTCCGCAATCCAAGCCCGTTGTCCTTCCCATCTTGGCATTGCCTTTTTCCACTCCTAGCTTACCTATGGGGCCTGCGACTGAAACGTGGACTGACCCCAGCGGAATGTAAGGATTGAAGTGTGGCTTCAGGAACCCAAACCTGAACGCCCAGCCCGTCCCACCAGGCCTGCACTCCCAAACTGATGGTGTAGGTTTTAGGGTCTGATGTGTTGGGCTGGTGTAAAGTCTAGTGTAGGGGTTCTAAAGTTCCAGTTAAGGGTCTATTGATCCGGTTTGCCCCAGGTCCTCTTCAGCCCGCATGGCATAGCATGCGTGCGCAGATCATAATTACGTCCCTCCTGTTCCAATGCATCCTTTCACCCCAGCATCCATTTGCAAACCAATAATGCGTCCACGTTCGAGTGCATCTGCTGACCGAAGCATCCATGCCCAGACCACTAGTGCGCTCGTGTCCGAGCGCGTCTCAAACACCAGAGCACAGTTTCGGGGACGTAGGCTGAGGTACTTCTACTTGCTGAAAATCCTGCGCCTGCCGCTTATCTTAACATGTGGCAAGTGTTGTGGACCAGGAAAACTTTCTCAAGCGTAGCTGACGCACCAAAAAAATCCACACACACTTCCGTGTTCAAGTCAACCACTCACCAAAGCATCCATGCCCAAACTATGATTACCTCCATGTTCGAATGCATTCGCTCACCAGACCATCCATTTCAGGATGTAGGCTAAGGCACCAAAAAGGCCTAAAATTCAAAAAACAAAGGCCTTGCAAACCTCCAGTTTTCCGCCCTTCGCAGAAAACATAAACCTAGTTGGGGAAGGTTGCTGGGGAAGTCGTCGAGGCATCGAAGTGCTGCGCGGACCTTAACAGTAGTAGTAGTAGTAGTAGTAGTAGTAATGGCAAACGGTGGTGATGGGCCCTGAGTTTGAAGGTGTAGAGTTTAGTGGCTAGCGTTTGGGACAATGGAAAGAAAATTGAAGCTACTATAGTTTAGGATTTAGGGTTTAGGGTTGAGGTTTAAGGGCTTAGGGGATTCTGGGCCACCATGGGCCACCTGAACCAGAAGGACTGCAGGACGGTTTGCTGAAGAACCAGGGCATCCCAGCTTTTCCAAGACAATAATAGCAGAAAGTAAATCATTTCGTAATAGTAATAATAGCAGGGATAGCAAGAATAATAATAATAATAGCAATAGTAGTAGTCATAAGTTGAATATTAAAACCCCCATGGCCATACGCTGAACCCCCATGTACTTGTCTCTGGAGGCTCATGATTAATTACGAGCTGAGCTTCAAGAAGGAAAGCCATACTTCAGAACTTCTTCAACATTCGTATGACGTAGAAGGTTACCCGGAGATGTAGGAAACCCTACTTAGACCTTCCATGTCATGGTAAACCCAAAGAAAATCCCAGGCATATCACTGCAATCCCACATACCTCCAGATTTGATGCCTTGACCTTAAACCGCAAACCTAGAAATCCAAGCCCTAAACCCCTCACCCAAAACCGCGAACCCCTACCAAGACATTAACTCCCAAAACCCCAAGTCCCAAACTTTGAACCCTAAACTTAAACCCCAAACCCTAAACCAAAATCCTAAGCCTTCAACCCGGAACCCGCGAAGCCCACCTGGACGGTTGCCCCACGGGCGAGCGAGATGAGCCGCCTGGCACCATGGCGCTCCTGGGCCTAGCGGGCCGCCCAGGCTGACGGAAGGGAGGGTTTAGGGTTTAGGGTTTAGGGTTTAGGGTTTAAGGTTTAGGGTTTAGGGTGGGCTCTGGGTTCAAAATTCCAAGGTGTAGGACTCGGGGTTGGGGGATGTTATAGTACATTAGAATATATACTATTGTATATCTTAATATATCATAATATATTTTCTAATTTGTTTTAATATATCATAGTATATCATAGTATATTTAAGGTTTTTGGTTCAAGTTTGGGCTTCTGTAAAAGCCCACAGACGCTTCTGTGCCTGTGCCAAGCGCATGGGGTCTCACAAGCCAGCTTTGACTCATTTTGGACCCCCAAGGTGTGAGTGCAGCGGTGACTACCACACAGAGTGTCACGGCTGTACCGTCAGCCATCTCTTGCCATGATACCGCCGTATCCTCAAAATCTAGGGCTTAGTTTGGTGTTTAGGGTCATTGCTATGCACGTATAGGAATGAAGCAGAGCCTTATGATGATTTCATGAAGGCTATAAAGGTGCTGGGGTTTCTGAAGCTTCGCAGACTTCTGCGCATTTTCAGTCAAAGAGTCGAATAGCTCCAAGTAAGGTCTGACCAGGAATACTGCTTTACTCATACCCCCACCTCCTGCAGCCTCAGGACCCCACTCCAATGCACCCCACTGATGCGCCTCTGTCTCCAATGCTCTTCTCTCAGCATCCAGGGCTGCTAAGGGCGCCTGCAGGTGGCTTAGGACTTAGGCTCCAGGATTTGGCTGCAGGGCATTAGGGCTGAAGGTCTGGGCCTTGGCCAAAATGAACTTGGGCTGATGAATGCTATTCTTTAGGTGGACCCCCCACCCAGTAATAGTGACTATAAGGGATAATAGGGATTATATTAGGGTCCTCTTATATTCTTATTATACCACTATTACAGGGTGGGGGGTCCTCCTAAGCAATTCTGGGATAACATGATAATTCCAGCACGGCTGCAGCACCAGATGCATCTCATGCTGTCCTCAAGGCCTTAAACACAATTGGGGTTTGGTCAGGATGCAACCAGTTTCGCGAGGCAGTGCACAGCATCTACGAAGGGGTGAAAACACTTTGGGTTCAAGGCTTCCTAAGGCTAATATTGGGATAATGTAGGGTAATTTACGGTTATATAGGGATAATGGAAAATAAAATGGAAACTCGTACTTTGGGTTTCTAATGATTCCTGGGCAGAACGGCAGCAACGCTTCTCGTGCTTCAAGCTGCTCGGGATTTATTATAGTAAATTAGAATATATATTAGCATTTTATAGTATACTATAGTAAATTATAGTATATTATAATGGATTCTAATATATTTTATAATGTACTATAGTATATTGGGGTTATATAGGGAGTATATTAGGGTTATATAGGGACAACGGAAAATGGAAACTACTACCTTATATAGGGGTTGCTTGCTTGCTACGTTTTTTCCTGGAAAGACATGCCTGTGAATGGTTGCTAGTAGCAAGAACACCACTTAGAGGAACATGAACAGTAGCTCCCGGATAATACTAGGAAGACTAGCAATAGCAGAAGTAGCAGCAGCATCAACAGAAGCAGAGCAGCAACAGAAAAAAACAGCAGCAGAAGCAACGGAAAGATGGATCAGCGGAGAGGAGGAGTAAAAGGGGAGTAAAAGGAGGCTGAGGAGTAGGACTGCGCAGTAGCACCCGGATCAAAAATCCATCATCGTTGCAAAGAAGATTCCAGAAACCTTTCCAAGCTGGGTTTGTAGTACGTGATACAGCTCTAAACCAACCCATCACTTGCTGTCTTCAAGCAAGGAGCGGGTCATAACATTGCAAGGATCAAAGGAGGCAACCAACCCTAAACCCTAAATAGTAGCTTCCATTTTTCCATTATCCCAATATTTTCCCAATATAACCCCAGTATAACCATAAAATACTACTGCGGCAAGGAGTCTCGGCGCCTTGGGCGCAGAGCTTCGGGGCGAGAGGCCCTGCAGCATGCATAACCCCTATATAATATAGTAGTTTCCATCTTCTTTTCCATTATTCCTATAGAACCCTTACATACCATATTTACTCTAGTATAGACCCTCAAGTGGGATCAAGGGTCTGCATAAACGTATTTTGGGGGCCCTGGATAGAGAGACTATCAGCGGATTATGAGCACTTAAAGAACATGAGCTCCCCCAATGTGCTGTCATCCCAGATCTCTGACACCCCAACTCTTTCACAGAGTCAGGTTCCAGTTGCGGCCAGTTTAAGCAGATACTACCACTACCCTAACGCTTACTCCAAGGTCTCGGATGAAGCATTGAACAGCCGGCACTCAAACCATGCAAAAACCACAAACAAGAGCAGTAGGCTCAAGGACCCCATAACCGGAGGCCTGGCATCCCTCTTAACTTGCCTGCTCCTGCCTTGTGGCTTGTAATAATACAAGGCTTGTTACAGTTTTCCTGACCACAGTTTGAGACATGAAGCTACACAGGGTGTTGGGGAGGCTTTCCCTAAACCCTAAACGGCCCAATCCTGAATCCTAAATCCTAAAATGGACCCAGAAGTTGCACATGGTCCGGAAAATTCTGGAATGCAGGGATGAGAGCTTTGAGAGTCTCACAGCCAGGTGGCACTCCTAACTGAGGGTTCTGAGACTGAGCACTCCAGAGTTGGGCTGTAGGATGGGTAGCAGAGCTATGGGTTATGTAGGGATCGCAAGTGATATTAGTCCAAGAGTGAAGAATCAAATGGAAAATAATCATGGCAAATGACATGAAAACTGGGTTGCTCTCACAAAGACTGTGCCACGATTGCATCTGAGGTGGGGGTGGGGACAGAACTGAGCCTCAGGGAGGATCATAAGATCATGACACAACAACTATGCTTGACTATCCGAGTCCATGGGTCCAACCGTATCTGCCAAGCCCTCCTTACTTTCTGATGGCTTCTGCGCGACAATGCCCACATGTTTAGTAACTGGGTCAAGGAGACTTCGAAACTAGAATCTCGGACTACACAAGCATGCAGAAGTGATACCCTAGGCCCATGCCTTCACAACATCGCGCAAGAGCACCTGTGACAGGTGTCCATCTTATGCTTGGACCCTTGGGGGCTGCAGGGGGTGCGTTTTGCAGATGCATGTTGGCAAAATTCAGGAAGCAGACTCACAAAAGATTCTGAGCCATTGTACGTCTGGACAACCGTCGTGATCCTTGCCCAAATAAAGGTCCAGGGAGCATAATCAGTCTCTCTTCTATTCTCCGCCTGTTCCCAGAGATGGCGCTCGTGGCCGCTCGGCAGGTCGCTTTAGATCTTAGACGACAAGTATGGAGCGTGGCATTTGTCGTCCATCTGTCGTCGCTTGCTTTTATGGGGAGACGGACACACAGGCACAAGCACTTTTTCTGGCTTCAGAGTGCCTGAAATGACATCTTCCATGGCCATGTGCTTCGAATCAAGCTGAAAGTCCGTCCAAAGATTGGAGGAAAGGGACCTAGGATTCACTCTCTCGGCATGTCCTGCGCAGCACACCAAGAGCTAGCCCATAACCTGCGCAGTCCATTTGGCAACTTGAAGGCAGAAAGCCCACGAAGAATTCAGAATCCGCGCCGACATTCGCGTATGACAGCCACAAGGTGCGGCTAGTCGCTGGCGCTATTCTGTACGCTGTACGCGCTAACCTGAAAGCACGAAAAAAAACACACTGAGCTTGGTTGGGAAAGAGTCTGAGCCTGCTTGAAAGATGAAACCCGGAACGATAGGCTTGATTATGCATCTTGGGAGATGGTAGAAATAGTTGGAGGTCCGGTCTCAATATCTCAGAATTCATGTGGCACATGAGAATGTCAAGGCAGCCAGAAGCACAACCCCCCTCCGAAGCATATACAGTCAAGCGAGGCTTTAGCCCCTTTGCAAAGGGACACAAGCCTGCTGCCAAAGTACAAAGATGCAGCTGTTAGTGCTGCGCCTGCGCTGGAGTCCTAGATGCTAAAGCCCAAAATCCATCCCCGCACAAACAGGAAGGCCACAGCTGAGAAGCAAGAACATGTTCTTCTGTGCGAAGCGTGTGTACGGCACTTCCTGAACGCCACATTCTTGGAAGTTGAGGGGAGAAAAAACTGGAATTCGGGATGCCAAAACAGCAGCATTCAAAAAAATGATCCGGCGCCAAGCCGACGACCCTGAACCCTTTGAAACCAATCTCGGGAGCGTATAGGAACATGCCCAAAAATCCCAGGTGACCTGTAGACCGTAGCCCTCTATGAATAACTGCTCTAGCCTCGGAGCAGCGAAGGCAGGTGTAGAACAAGGAGGGCTCCTTCTCCAGGCATGATGCGCACACACATCTAGGCAGCCTTGTCAAAAAAAGGTCCGGATGTAAGTAGGCGCAGACATTAATATGATTCCGTACATGTATACTGCACGCCCCATGTACCAGCCTCCAAAAAGTAATTGTCCAACAACGCATACATGCTGTTGGTATGCTTTGGGATCTACAGAGCTCAAGGATGCAGTGAACTATTTCCCCTCAACAGAACCTGTGAGCCCCAGAGGTGAAGAATCTGAATTCATCTCCTCGATGAGCACTTTCTTATCATGTGGTAGTTTCCCTAAATTACTGTTCCCAAAATGGGGGAAATTTATATAGGGCCCCGTATTATAATGGGAACCCAAATTAGGACCCCGTATTATGGAGAATTTAGATCAATACCCATGTGGCAATTGGAATGTCCATCTCTTTGCTGGGTTTCGTGACAGGGGATCATATCCTAAAGACGATTCATCCCACTAAAGTTGATACATAGCCAGCTGAAGTCCCAAAACATCCGGGCTATCGAACCTCGACTGAACTTTTGCATGCAAGAACTTATAGCATGGGTACTGGCCCCACTCTGTGTCAATCTGTAATATTCGGGATCATCCTAAGGTCCCTGCAAAAATATTATAAATAGCCCCCAATTTCGGGGAACTCCCAACCCGAATCCCTAAACCCTATACCCTATACATCCCACATAACCTGCTTTTATAGTACCCATAACGGTACACCTTGTTTTGGTAAACCTTTTGGCAGGCCTCCTTGAGCCATCCACGCTGCATCAACAGACCAAGCCCTTCCTGCTGGCATGGAGGATTTAGGGTTTCGAATTTGAAGGCGTAGGTCTGCGAAAATCAGAGTTCTCCTCGGGGTCTCATACATAACATACTAAACTATCCTAGACTATGGTACATTATACCACAATATACGATGTTACAATATCACTTTCAGATCGGCTTTCCATCATTCGTGCTAGATGGCTTCACAGCTCTAGGAGCAAATGTCCCCCAGTATGCCACTGGGATTTGCAACGCGTGCTTCCAACATAGCAGGACATTGCAACTAAGGTTGTTATTAAACATAAAGCCGCTCCAGTCAGGATGGTCCAGTCCAGGAAACCACATGTACTTTGCAAGACACCCAAACACCATCTCTCTGCGGGCTTTGGGCTCAAGGGGTTCCACACCTCGCCATGGAGACACCTTTCTTGAGCTCAAATCCCTCACAGGCACGGTTGTTCTGGTGTTTGCTACAAGAAGCTGTCCAAACGCGGACTATGGTACATACCAGGATGGTACAATTAAACTCCAAACCTGTCATGTTTGAATACTCCAACACAACTTCTTCAGGTTGGGAAATGCATGGGCTCGGGAGTTTGGATTGATACGTGACAAGGCAGAGTGCAGTTTAAAGCAGAGGCCCTACTTGGGCCTTTCTCATGTTCTGACTCGTGTGCTGATTCTGTGGTACTGTAGCAGCGTAAGTTGCTGACTTGATGATCTTTCCTGAAGACTGTGTCTTTTAGCCTGCTGCTTTTAGCAGCATCAAGTAGGGCCCCCCCTGGAACGAAGGCACTCCGCATCCACCAAAGTCGCCTTCGCTCAAAATAGCCAAGCCCAAAAATGATGGCACAGAGAAGCAGCCTTAAAAGCGTGAGAAACACTCAGCAGCCCCAAATTCTGTACATGGGTGGTTGTCGAAATTCTGATCCCTTTTTGGGTACCCTAAATATTAGGTGCCCGATTATAATAGGGATCCCAAAAGGCACCATAATTTTGACAACAGGGGGACCCTAAACCCCCAACCCTCAATAGTAGTTTCCATTTTCTTTTCCATTATCCCTATATAACCTATGTTACCCTATATCACCAAGGGGAACTATAAGATAGCTTCTGAAGCCCAAGGACATTCACATCGGCAACCTGGAGTCAAACCCTGGAACAAAGCGTGGAAGCCTTGGCCCAGTCATGCCCAAGAAGCCACAGCCGCTGGCGTCGCGCGTAAGCACAGATCCTGAACCAGGACCCTTAAGTAGCTAGCTATCTATCTTATAGTTCCCCTTGGTATATAGGGTAATATAGGTTATATAGGGATAATGGAAAAGAAAATGGAAACTACTATTGAGGGTTTAGGGTTTAGGGTCCCCCTGTTGTTGAGAATGAATGGTTTGGGGTTAGGGCTTAGATGCAGGAATGAAACAACAAATGGAGATTACCATGGTATCAAGGGTTATGCAGGGGCAACCAGAGGGCTTTCCCTCCCTTCCCGCCTAACAACCAGCAGGTTGACTTGAAAACCCTTGGGTGATGACGCTGTATGGCTAATTTGTGGTCCTGTCTTCAAGGGTCAACGAACTAGGGACAGCTAATATCTAGGAGGCACTAAAAAGGTAATCTAGACCCCTGATTAATAAACCCCCTCCCCTTAATGGGGATTACTTATAGTAGGGATCCTGATATTAAGGCGCTGAAAGGAAGGGGGCTTATTAATCATGGGTCTACATTACTTCAAGTTTCCTAAAAAGCTTGGAGGAGCTACGGGTTTGCTGCGCTTGCCACCAGCGACGCTGGCTCTGTTTATTGCTTAGACCTCTGGAGAAGAAACCCTAAACCCTACAGTCCACCTTAAGAAGATACAATATGGCTTTGGGTATATCACAATAAGATCGCCATATACCCCATATTCTATCTACTTAAGGGGTACTATAAGCCCTAAGCCCTAAACCCTAAAAGTTGTCTTTACACTGTCAGTGAGAAATTACCGACAAGCTGGACTTCGGACATATGACAAGTTTCGGCCGCTGCCAGCTTCATCAGCTCAGGAAGTCTCTATTACATAGGGTTTATATAGGTTATTTAGGGTTACATAAGGATTATATAGGGTTATATAAGGATTATATAGGGTTATATAGTTAACTAGGGATATTATTAGCCCATTATTAGCCCAACGGTAGAGAATCAAATGGAAAATGACATGCGAACAGTGTCTAAAGGAATGTAGGGGCCTCAGTAATTACCGATGTCGTGTTGGGGTCAGCCTGTTTGTGGTACCCTAGACCATAATTGTACAAGGAGTGTACGTAGGCAATCATCCCTGTAAGGCCTACCATAACCAGTTTTCCATTTCATTGTCCATTCTTCCACTTCATTCTCCACCTTTCCCTATCTACCCCCAAATATGTTTATATACCGATATAGAGGCCCCTGAAATACTATTGCGCCACTTTGACATGCTCGGCTTGGGAAGGCAAGGCACAGGCTTTGGGGCGTTGACAGCTCCTCCTAGATGGGGGTTTCCGATGGACCCTAATATACCACCTAAGCCCTAAACCTTAAACCCTAAACCCTCAGCCCACAGTACCACCTAAGCCCTAAACCTTAAACCCTAAACCCTACACCCACAGCAATCCTTCAAATGGGGACTTTCAAGAAGGGGCCCCTGGTTCTTGGAAATCCCCAGATGAACATGACAAAGTGAAAGGAAAGCCGTAAGGCTAAGCTCCACAAAGATTCAAGCGATGCATACGCATACAAACTTGCACTTAAGGACCTCAGGATACCGCGGTCAGTGAGCTGAAGATGTAAACGTGCTTTTCCTTCTGTCATCTTGGATTTTTTGAAGACGGAAGCTCGAACTTGATGCCGTGCAGAAGCCCTTCAAATTAAAAACTCCACAAGCCGATGACCAATACCAACTTTCACCCCCTGCCTATCTAAGACCAGCGCCACTGTGGGAAGAAGCCCCTCCTCTTGAGATTTAGGGGCCGACCAGGGCTTCATGGAGAAGTTGTTAGAGCGCAGACTTTAGTGGGTTGGGCCCCTCAGCACTGCGTCACGGTGACGATCAGCATTTACTTGGAGACTTCTTGAAGTTCGTCTTCGGCAACAATTAGGTCGCAGATCCTAGAAGTTGCGATGCAGTAGAATGATGCAGAATCAACAGGAAGACATCCATGTAAACTGACATTCAAACGGGACATGTGCCCTGCACTGCAAGACTTGCTCAGATTTCTGGCCAGTGGGAGCCTGTCTGGGCTGGCATGTGGATCCTCATATGACCTATATTCTAAACTCCTCAAAGGGGGGCTATATAGGGGATTATATAGGGGACTACTATAACGGTTATTAAGGGGTATACTAGGAGTTTAGACTATAGCTCATTTCTCCTAGGTAATGCTGGCCACCATTTTTGCTGCGTGGAGGGTTCTTTTGTCCTGCTCCAACGTGGATGGAAGCAAGCTCGGTAAGACCACCCTCAAGCTATATCTATATATATATATATTTTTTCTATATACATGTATATATGATATATACATATATACA